TTATAGGATGGAAAACACGGTGGAAATGGACAGATTCTTAGATGTGTATGAATTACCAAAGCTGAATGAAAAAGATATAAAAATCCTGAATAACTTAATATCAGCCAACAAAATTGAAAATATAATAAAAAATGTACCAACAAAGAAAAGTCCTGATGGATTCACAAATGAATTTTATAAAAATTTAGAGATGATTTAATGCCAATTCTTCTCATACTCTTTAATGAAATTGAAAGAGAAGGAATTCTCCCCAACTCATTCCCGGAGGCAAGTATTACCCCAACACCAAAACCAGAGAAAGAACTAACCAAAAAAGACAACTACAGCTGGGGATTTAGCTCAGCGGCAAAGCGTCTGCCTGGCAAGCGCAAGGTCGTGAGTTCGGTTCCCGGTACCGGAGAAAAAACCAAAAAAAAAAAAAAAAGACAACTACAGGCCATTCTCCCTAATGAACATAGATGCAAAAATTCTCAACAAAATACTTGCAAATAGAATGCAGCAAATCATCAGGAAGATTATACACCATGACTAAGCGGCATTCATCCAAGGGATGCAGGGATGGTTCAATGCATGCAAATCAATAAATGCAATACACCATATCAATAGAGCCAAAGACAAAAACCACATGATCATCTCAATAGATGCAGAAAAAGTTTTTGATAAAGCCCAACACTCATTCAAGATAAAAACCCTACAGAAGATTGGAACAGATGGTCTTTAACTTACTTCTGATAAAAGCCATCTATGACAAACCAGTAGCCAACATCATACTAAATGGACAAAAATTGAAAGCTTTCACTTTAAAATCAGGAACAGGACAAGGATGTCCATTTTCACCACTCCTATTCAGTATGGTTCTAGAAACATTAGGCAGAGCAATTAGATAAGATAGAAAACTAAATGGAATAAGGATAGGAAAGTAAGAAGTGAAATTATCATTATTCGCAGATGACATGATTCTCTACATAGAAGACACCAAAAACTCCACCAAAAGACTTGTAAATTTACTAACCAAATTCAGTAGCATAGCTGGATACAACGTCAGCACTCAAATATCAATTGCATTCCTGTACACAAATAACAAACACACTGAGAGAGAAATTAGGGGAGCCACACTCTTCACAACAGCATCTAAAAAATAAAATGAATACTTAGGAATCAATCTAACAAAGGAAGTAAAAGATCTATGTGAAAATTACAGTACTCTGAAAAAAGAGATTGAAGGGGATTTCAGAAAATGGAAAGATATTCCTTTCTCATGGATAGGAGGAACCAACATTATAAAAACGGCTATATTCCCAAAATTGTTGTACAGATTCAATGGAATCCTGATTAAAATACCATTCACAGATGTAGAGAAAACATTCCTAAAATTCATCTGGAACCAGAGGCGACCTAAAATAGCAAAAGCAATCTTAGGCAACAAAGGCAAGGCAGGAAATATCACAATCCCTGACTTGAAATTATACTACTAAGCTACTGTGATAAAATCAGCATGATACTGGTAGAAAAAAATGAACCTGAGGGTCAGTGAAACAGATTAGAAGATGCAGACACAACTACAAACACACTCAGCCATCTTATCTTTGACAAAGGGGCCAAACATGCTCACTAGAAGAAACAGTTTCTTTAATAAATGATGCTGAAAAAACTGGCTTTCCACATGCCGAAGACTAAAATTAGACTCGTGTCTATAACCATGCACTGTCAAAATGGATCAAAGATCTAAACATTAAAACAGAGATACTAAATCTACTGGAAGAGAAAGTAGACAGAAATTTTGAAGACAAAGGGGTAGGCACAGAGTTCCTGAACAAAAACCAAACTGCATGGGAAATACCTCAAAGAGTCAACAACTGGGAGGGGTCTCATCTTACTGAAAAGTTTTTGCACATGAAAAGAAACCATCAGTCAGGTAAAAAGAAAACCCATGAATTAGGAAAAAATTTTAGCCAACTGTCTTTTGTTCAAAGGACTTCTACCTAGAACACATAAAGAATTTTAAAAAATAAGGCCCCCAATATTCAAAGACCCAATCCAAAAATGGGTATCTGAGATGAATACACACTTCTCAGATGAAGAAATGCTAATGGCAAATAAATATATGAAAAAATGTTCAACATCATTAGTCATTTGAGAAATGCAAATTAAAACAACACTGAGATTCCATCTTACTCCAGAAAGAATGGGTATCATCAAGAAATCAACCAATAACAAATGCTAGGGCGGCTGTTGGGAAAGAGGAACCCTCTCCACTGTTGGTGGGAGCGTAGACTGGTGTAACTACTACGGAAATCTGTGTAGGGATTCCTCACAAAACTAGGATTAGAGGTCCCACTTAATCCAGCTAGTCCCTTTCAGGGTATTTTTCCAGAAAAACTGAAAACATCATACCCCAGTGATATGCATGCACCCATGTTTATAGCAGTGCATTTTGTCATAGATAAATTTTGAAAGCAACCCAAATGCCCATCAACTGAATGGATAAAAAAGATGTAGTATTTTTAAACAATGGAGGTAAATGGATGCAACTAGAGACCATACTCATAAGTGAAATAAATCAGACCCTCATGTGTAAACATCATATTGTTTCCCTAGTATAAGAACCTGAAAGAGT